CCCACATGACTCCTCCCCCCCCCCAGCCCCCATACCGCAAAAACACCGGCGAGGAGGAGGAGGATGAGGAGGAGGCAGAGGAGGCCGAGGAAAACCAAGGGGCAGCCGGGGGGGGGCGTCGGGGGCTGGGGGGGGGCGGGGGGGGGAGATGGGGGGGGAAAAGCAGTGAAAAGCACCGCCTCCATCATTAAACCACGCCCACAACACTTTGGCCACGCCCCCATGGTCCTAACCCCGCCCACTCAACCGTGGCCGCGCCCCGATGTCAGACCCATCGGCTAAGCCCCGCCCACTCAGCCGTGGCCACATCCCATAGGCTGTGATCGCATTCAGCCCCGCCCACATCTCAGTGGCCACGCCCTCAAGCCTTTACCCCCGCCCACTCCGCCTTAGCCACGCCCCCAAGCCAAGCCCATCAGCCTAGCCCCGCTCACTCGACCTTTGCCTCGCTCCCATTGGGTTCTGCACGCGATTAGCCCCGCCCACATCTCAGTGACCACGCCCCCAGCCATTAGCCCCGCCCATGTTGCCTTGACCACGCCCCCACGCCAGGCCCATCGGTTTAGCCCCGCCCACTCGAACTTGGCCACGCCTCCGTAGGCCGCGTATGCAATTAGCCACACCCCCATGCCTTTAGCCCCGCCCACTCTGCCATAGCCACGCCCCCACCGTCGACCATATTTGTTAGCCCCGCCTGTTGCTTGCTGGCCACGCCCCCTCTCCGCCTTGTCCCCGCCCCTACCTGTAGCCCCGCCCCTCCTGGGGTGGGCGATGCCGCCATGGCTGCTGTCCCCACGCGGGCACAGCGGCTGCTCCTCTGCGGGGCTGATGGTGTCACTGATGACGTCATTCTTTGAGGTGACATCACCGCACTCAGCTGTGACATCATGGCCCGGGATTGTGACATCACTGCCAGGCGTGATGTCACCCATGGGGTCACCTCCGTAGGTGATGTCATCGATGAGGTCGTCTCCGTGGGTGATGTCATCACCCCCCATCTCCCAGCAGAAAGGAGAAGTGGTTTCGTCTGTGGTGACGTCATCAGCCACGTAGGTGACGTCATCGGTGAGGTCACCTCCACGCATGGCGTCACCGCTTACGTCACCCCCACAGATGACGTCATCAGCGACGCCACCCCAAGGCGTGACATCAGCGGTGATGTCACCTCCAAGGATGACGCCATGGGTGACGTCACCACCAGGGATGGCGCCATCAGTGATGTCACCCCCACGGATGACGTCATCAGCAGAGATGACGGTTCCACCCGCGAAGACGTCATCAGCGATGCCACCCCAAGGCGTGACATCATCGGTGACGTCAGCAGTGATGTTGTACCCATGGGTGATGCCATCGGTGACGTCACCTCCAGGGATGACGTCATGGGTGGCGTCACCTCCAGGGATGACATCATAGGTGGTGTCACCTCCAGGGATGACATCATGGGTGACATCACCTCCAGGGATGACATCATGGGTGGCGTCACCTCCAGGGATGATGCCATGGGTGACGTCACCACCAGGGATGACATCATAGGTGACGTCACCACCAGGGATGACGCCATCATCCTGCTCACCTCCGGGGAGGGAAAAGACGACGTCACCTCCTCCCCCGATGATGTCACCATCGGCCACGGCGTCACCCACGCCCTCAGCCCCGGGGAGGCAGGAAGTGACGTCATCGGTGGACGTGACGTCACCGGGAAGCAGAGCTGTGACGTCATCCTCGTCGCCGGGGATTTCCTCCAGCGGCGGGGCCGTCACCGTGATGGTGATGCCGCCACAAGCGCCCCCAACGTCGCCCCCTTCGATGTCCCCAACCCCGTCACCCCTCAGGAAAGGGACGCCTCCGTCCCCGACCCCCCCCGAGTTGGGGACATTCGGGCCCCCCGTCTCCCCCCCCCCGGAGGTTGGCACGTCCCCATCTTTTTTGTCCCCAACGTCCCTCAAGATGGTGACGTCCCCGACCCCGTCCCCAAGGCCGTCCTCGTCCCCAGCGCCCCCCACAGCTGGGAATTCCCCGGTGTCCCCAAGCGTGGGGACATCCCTGTCCCCGTGGGGAACGTCCCCAACGTCTCTTGGGGTGGCGACGTTCCTGTCCCCAATGTCCCCAACACCTCTTAGAGGAAAGGCCGCATCCTCCTCCCCGTTGTCCCCTTGGGTTGGGGCATCCCTGCCCCCAAAGTCCTTTGGGGATGAGATGCCCTTGTCCCCAAATTCTTTGTCCCCAAACTCTTTGTCCCCAAAGTCCCTTAGGGCCGGGACCTGGACGTCCCCAACCTTCTCATCCCAAACATCTCCTGAGGTCGGGACATCCCCAATCTTGTTCCCAATGTCCCCAAAGCCCATGAAGGATGGGATGTCCTTGTCCCCAACATCCTTGTCCCCAAAACCCACGAAGGATGGGACCTCCTTGTCCCCAATGTCCTTGTCCCCAACATCCTTGTCCCCAAAACCTATGAAGGATGGGATCTCCTTGTCCCCAATGTCCTTGTCCCCAATGTCCTTGTCCCCAACGCCCATAAAGGATGGGACCTCCTTGTCCCCAACATCCTTGTCCCCAGCGCCCATAAAGGATGGGACCTCCTTGTCCCCAACATCCTTGTCCCCAGCGCCCATGAAGTATAGGATCTCCTTGTCCCCAGTGTCCTTGTCCCCAAAGCCTATAGGGGATGGGACACCCTTGTCCCCACCATCCTTGTCCCCAGTGTCCCCAACGTCCCTGAAGGACGTGTCCTCCTTCTCCCCAACATCCTTGTCCCCAAAGTCCATGAGAGATGGGACCTCCTTGTCCCCAAAGTCCTTGTCCCCAAAGCCTATAGGGGATGGGACATCCTTCTCTCCAACGTCCTTGTCCCCAAAATCCTTGTCCCCAAAGCCTGCAAGGGATGGGATGTCTTTGTCCCCAGTGTCCTTGTCCCTAACATCCTTGTCCCCAAAGTCCATGAGAGATGGGACCTCTTTGTCCCCAATGTCCTTGTCCCCAACGCCCATGAAGGACGGCACCTCCTTGTCCCCAATATCCTCGTCCCCAATGTCTTTGTCCCCACCATCCTTGTCCCCAAAGCTCATGAGGGATGGGGTGTCCTTGTCCCCACCATCCTTGTCCCCAGTGTCCCCAGTGCCCACGAGGGATGGGACCTCCTTGTCCCCACCATCCTTGTCCCCAAGGTCCTCATCCCCCATGGTTGGGACACGATTTCCCTTGGTGTCCTCGTCCTTAGGGGCTGTGACATCCTTGTCCCCAGTGTCCCTTAGGGTTGGGATGTCCCCAGTGTCCCTTAGGGTTGGGATGCCCCCAATGTCCCTTAGGGTTGGGATGTCCCCAA